TTAACTGTATTACGTCTGGTTGAAGACAAATAAGTGGAAAAAGGAGTGGGAAAATATTTTATCCTAGTTGTTACATAGCAAAAATTTCCCTTACAGGCTTTTTTTTGTTGTTGTTGCTGTCAGTGGTATTCTGAACAGCTCTTGGCGCTTTCTCTTTTCTTATAAATACCAATTCCTGTGATGGTGAACACTGAGTATGTGCCACGTATCTGAGGTTAAGCCCCGGCAGTGCTAGATGAATATGGCTCCTGGTTGGTGGCCAGATGTGGTTTATTAGAAGCCTGCTGGTTTACGATCCATTTTTATTTAGGTTTTGGTGTAAATGTGTAGGAAGAAAATGGAATTAAATGAGCTCCGGGTGTGTGGGGGGGTTTTAAGTTTACTTCCAGAGTGTATACTGTTTGTCTTGTGTGTGTGCAAGCGTGTGCGTGTTTTCAGAGCTTTAGGTTTGCTGAGGTTCCTGTACCCTCATAACTCTTTTCCCAGGTGTCCCACATTTTTGCTAATCTGCTGCTCATTTTGGCTAATAATCTGTCTCAAAGGAGCTATTTGGATGGAGTGGGATTGGGAATCTGAGCTCTATGACAACTGCTGAGGAAGTTAAGCTCATAGCAAAATGCTAAGGAGAAACCTGTCATTCAGCAGTCTTTATATACTTCATGACATGAGACCTTGCTGTACACAAATGCAAATTCACACAGTGGACTACAGCTGGCATGAATGCATCAAGGTCTAAAAACACTTTGCCAAACAATGTTGATTTCAGAAATAATGAACATTTTGATTTATTTTTTTGCCAATTAGATTTAAAATCATTTCTGAATTAAGCTAGTATTAGTTCTTGGTTATTTGGTATGCCCTGCCCTGGCTGCTAACAGATAATAATTTATCTAGATTTTGTTTTAAATTTTGATTACAAGTGGAGTTTCCCCCCCAAAACTAAAACAACTAATTTAAACAACCCTGTATTATTTTTCCGTACCTAAAATATTCTGATTAACAACTTTTGTATAAACAGTAGTGAGACACTGGCTCTGTCCTGGTTTACACTGTAAAAGAAGCGACACACAGTCCCAGACCTGTTGATTGCACAAGACATGAAAGCCCTGGGGGAGAAATGAATATATCATTTGTGTACGTGTGGGGTGAAGCAAATACCAGTTGTCTAATAGCTTTCACACAAGCTTGATTGAATTAGATGGCCATGAGGACCGTGTTCCTAATTGAATCATGAGATTCTGTGTTGCAAACAGAGCTAGCTTGTGTTACCCATGGAGGGGCTGAATATGGGGAGGGGTTGGGGTTAGCAGGGTCTGGTTTGCTCTCACTCACAGGAACAGACTTTCAACTTGTGGCTGCTCTTCCTTTCTTCATTCGAGACAGTGACTCTCATTTCACAGGGTCACGCTATATTTAGATGTGAGCCGTAAAAAGGTTGATAGTCTTCAGTAAATTTCACGGTAGTGAGGCTGTAAAGGTAATAAGAGAGCTGTTGCAGAAGCTAACAGGTTGCATGAATCAATTTTTTTTTTCTTTAAATAAACTTGAATTTTGATGAGCTATTATCTGTCACTACGACGATTTGTATATTTTGTTTGCTAAACTATATAGACCTAAACGTGTACAGTTTTTGCTTTGATGGCCTCTTTAGTCACAGTGGAATACCCAGAAGCCACAAATTCTCCATCCACTGATGCTGGTCTTTTCCACAGCTTTCAGCACTTTTTTCCTGCTGTGCTCACAAAACCTAGCACCTCAGATTTTTTTTTTCATTCCTTTTTTCACTCCGGCAGCCTTTTGTCTTTCACACCTTAAACACCACACACAAACACACATGTACACACTGGCACACAAAGTCCTTGTCGGTCTTTGTCTACTTTGTCTCTTCAAGAGTGTGTTCATTAAATAAAGCAGTTTTGGGGAAGGTCCTGAAAAGAGAGAACGGGGGTACTAGGGAAAAGGAGGCCGGAAGAATGTCCTCTAGCTGATGCGATGCTTCAAAACGAGGGACAAAGAGCTTTTCTGTTAGTTCCGTAGTGTTAAGCGGACTGGGTATTTTTTTTTCTTCCTTTTCTAACAATAGTTGTGTCTTTGGGCTGGATTGCTTTGTATTGCCCATCTGATTCTCCAGTTGTAACCCCATTGACCAGCCGGAAGTGTGTCATTTGAAACGGGAATGTCAAGTTTTTTGTTTGGCTTGGTTTTTCTTTGTTCGTATCGTTGTTTCGGTTTGACCACTGTCAAATACCGTAATTTCCTGACTATAAGCCGCAACTTTTTTCCGCACGCTTTGAACACTGCAGCTTATACAATGCTGCTGCAAATTAATGGGATTTTTATTTTATTTTTGATGGGCTAACGAGCTTTATGCCGCCAAAACATTTAGCCTTGTCACACCGGGGCGCTCACATAGCTGCCCAGTACACGTCTCCCTTGAGGGGGTGAGTCCTTGTGACTCAGTGAGACTACATGTATACTGTAAATAAAGGTTAAATAAAAAATCTGACGGATGAAATTACCAAACAGGTCACAATGGACCAATGAAACTTGGTTTCATTGGTCAACTGGGGAGGGGGAAACCATTCTCTCATCCCATCCCCATTGTACGACAGAGCTTTAGGGCCACGCTAACAAAAAAAAATTAGAATCCATAAAGTTATGAGAATAAAGTCTTGAGTATTATGAGAATAAAGTCGAATAAAGCTTAATTAAATTAAATTAAATTCAAAATACTTTATTAATGCCAAAGGGAAATTAAGTTTTGTCGTGGCTCATCATCTTGGTTTCATTCAAGAGCTGTTAGATGTTGATGGCTGTGGGCAGGAAGGATCTCCTGAAGCGAATCCGAAGAATCTGGCCACAGATACCGATCCGTCCACCCGGATCCAGCTTGCTGTCAGATCCGGCGGGCATCTTGGTCCTCCTGGGCAGCAGGACTGCCCCAATGCCGAGCAGAATTCCTCCCTGAGCAATGGTCACTCCTCCCAGCAGTCTGCTGAGCTCCTCGTAGCCATGGACAGACTGCTGAAAATGCCGGGGGACGATCCTGGTTTTACCGTTGTCACGAGCCAAGTTTAATATTACTAGAATAAAGTCGTACGAGACATTTTTTTTGCAGCTCTCGTTTATTAATTTTTTTTCCATGAGTCGAATCCACAACGCAGCTTGTCAATCAATCCAGTAAGCGTGTCAGCAAACGACCGATCCGAAGCTAAATGAGTCGTAATATTAGCCGAACTCCAACACGAAAAAGCAGGGTTTACCACATTTTAACTATGGTAAAATGAAGAATGTTGAGCATCTTGTTAAGTTATACTTTGCTATTGGTTTTACAAATAAGGAGATACTTAATCTGTTAGCGCATCACCATCAGATTACTATCAGGACTTTGAACCTGCTTACAGTACGGTGGTACGCTCTGGTGGGCTGCAGCGCAACTTTCTGCAAATAAGGAGCGTTTAGCTTTAGATTGGTAATTTGCTGACACGCCTCCTGGATTGATTGACGGGTCACGTCATGGATCTGACTCGTGGAAAAAATAAAATAAAATAAATGAGAGCTGCAAACAAGTCTCGTATGACTATTCTCGTAATATTAAGACTTTATTCAACTTTATTCTCAAAATTGTATGACTTAATTTATTTTTCTTAGCTGGCAATGTATTTTTTTTTCTTAGCATGGCCCTAAAGCTCCATCGTACCATTGTGCCCTCAGGGAGGTGGGAAACGGGTTGCAAAAGGCAGCTGCATGATGGAGGACAGCACAAACTATCCTCCATCTTCAAGATGAAAATAGTGATCAATGGCTTCCTGGTAGACTACTTTTTTTTTTTTTTTTTAACCAGACGTGTTACAGGTACTGTTCAGAAAAAAATAAAATTACTGTACATATTTGTGTATGTTACTGATACATATTTAAATAAAAGTAAAAAAAAGTATTTCTGTGTAAATATCATGTTACAACGTGGACACCGTCACTTTTAGACAAGTGCAGCCTATATAGGTACTTTTTTTTTATTTAGTGGGCGTGGCTTATATTCAGGTGTGCTCAGTTGTCTGGAAATTATGGTACAAACACACAAATAATTAAATAAATAAAATTAAACAGACTGGCTGCTCATATTAGCATTATCAGCACTTTTTTCACCACTTGCATAATTACTCACACAGCCCAACATTTTCCGTAACATTTAGATGTTTTTTGCTGCAAGCCTAGTTTTCAATGTGCTATAAATCTTTGTGACAGAAATATTCAGGAAACCTTTGATGCATCCAGCAAAACACCTGCTATAAAAACTGACTAAAACCCAAACACAGTTACTTACCACACTTTGCAGTTTTTTCTGTACTATATTTATTCAGCAAGTCTCACAAACCTCCCCCATAAAGCTTTTATGTCACTATATATTATTAGCACTCGTAAACATTGGCAGACACAAGCAGCTGGGGGTTTGGTACGCCTGCGTGTGGGAGGTATTCAGGAGATGTGTTTTTTAAGTTTTGTTAGATTAAAGTAATATAACACCTTACACTTAAAGGATCAGATGACACTAAAAGAAAAAAAAAGAAAAACTCTCACTCCTGTGGCAGAAGATTTCATTTTTCATTTTTAAAAGTTAACGATTTAAGCACAAGCCTGCCTGCTGTGTGCCTTCAACCATTTCCAGGGGATTTAGACTTTTTGACACCGCTACTATTATATTGAGTCTGAAGGGTTTATAAATTTCCTTAATGCTTTTCTATGTGCCTTTTGTTCTTGACTTATTGGCACGTTTTATTGTCTGCTCCATTTCCACGTTCCAGTCTACGGAGAAAAAGAGAAACGTGAGCTCTTTGCTTGTTGCTATTGATGCTATTATTAGCAGTAGGAGCAAAAGTGAAGCTGTTGTCAATAAATATTCATACTTTTTTACCTCTGCTTGGCAGAAATGGTTTTGAAGTTAAAAGGAAACAACCAAAAAAGTAGCGTTTGGTTCTCACGTGTTTTGCTGCAGTGCCAACATGATGATCAAACAGCTCAACAGCAGCAGTCTGGGCAGGCGAGGAGGTAGAGAATTAAAGCCCTTTTCTGATTTTTAATCACTGCTCTCCATGTCTTTGCTTCTCTACATCTGACACCAGCCAACTGTGCAACCCTTTAAATCTGTCATCTGAGTATAAAGTGGAAATTCCCCAAATTTTTCTTTAAAATAATGGCTGTAGCAAAGCACATAGGAATGCCAAGGCATATAATACTGTGCTTTCTTGAACAGGATGAGGTTTTTGTTTGTGTTTGTTTTATAAAACACACACACACACACACAAACAAACAAACAAACAAAAAAAACACATAAACAAGTTTTCACAAGGGGTTATGCTTATAGAAATAAATATAATGTCAGTGTTTTATTATTTTAGTTTTCAATATTTTGTCTGACTTCTGTAAGTTTGACTTATTTTAGAAAAAGAAAACTATAATTTTACCATATTCCTTAAATAAATCTCTGTTTTAATTATAAGTGAGAGACATTTGATAAAAAAGTCATGTTTTTAATGTTTACATGATTAAATGATTTTAATATGTTTGTATGTACGTTAATATTTAGTCTTGATTGTGACTTTTTTTAGTTTTCACAATTCTTAGCATGTATCTTAAGAAAAACTTTCAACTGTTGTTCTTTTTAAACAATGAAAACACAACCGACCCTGAGGAAAGTAATGAAGAAAGGCAGAACACAATAGATGAAGCAGAAAAAAAAGAATACAACAGTTGAGTTGTTTTTATTAATACATAAATGTTATGTACAAAAAAGCTGTTACGACTTTAGAACTCATTGCATGTACAGTAATGAAGTATAATATTCTAATGTGATTTTGACACTAAGTTTAATGGCTCAATGTGAGCAAGTATAGTCAGTTCAATTTGTTTATTTATATAGCGTCATTTCAGGGTGCTGAGCAGAAACATTCATATATAAAAATAATAATTTAACACTATTTATCTGAGGAACATACTGCTTTGAATTTAACAATTTAACTCCATCGCAGAACTCTCATTTCGAGCAAGCATGATGGCGAAAGTGGAAAGGAAAAACTCCCTTATGAGGAAGAAACCTTTAGCAGACCCAGGCTCAGGACAAGCGGCCATCTGCTTCAACCAGCTGGGTTTGGTAGGAACAGATACACAATGGCAGGTCAAGAATCACATGTTAAGATATAAATAGTATCAAATGAAAACTATTGAATTTTAGCAAATTATTTAAGGAAATTAGGTAAATTTGTCCTCTAGTATTCTAAGCTTAAGGCAGCATAACAAGCCAAACCTAACTATAGGATTTATCAAAAAGTAAAGTCTTAAGCCCAGTCTTAAAACTGGACAAAGTGTCAGCTTTACAGACAGAAACTGGAAGTTGGTTCCACAAGAGAGGAGCCTGATAACTGGAAGCTCTTCCTCCCATTCTGCTTTTGGAAACTCCAGGGATCTCAAGTAAGCCTGCAGTCTGAGAACAAAGTGCTCCGTTAGGAAAATATGGAACAATAAGATCTCGAATATAAGATGGAGCTAGGTTGTTGAGAGCTTTGTATATTTTGTATATATATATCATGTCTTTTAGTTTAATACCTCAGTGAGGGGAGAAAAATAAATACATTTACTGACTTGTGTGTCGTCCATCAATAACCACAGAAATGCATCCACTGTGGTGGTAGTTATGTCGAGAAAAACAAAAGACTAGCACCTACGAAACTGATTGCTTCGTAGGTTTTCTTCTTCTTCTTTGTGGCGATTTTAAAACAATTTTTTGTATTGTTATATAAAGTCTGCATATTGTCACAGCACATACCGTATTTTTCGCCGTACCTGTCGCACCACCCTATAAGTCGCATCAGTCCAAATATGTCTAATAAAGTGGGAAAATCCATAAATACGTCACTTCGCCGTATAAGTTGCATGTATTTTCCGTCACCGCCGACTCATGGCGTTTATGTGTCACCGCTGACGACCCAGAAATGTGGGACGGTGTTGTGCCAAAAATCGATTGGCTCCCAAATGGCGGCCACGGGATTATTCACAGGAGGACTTTACCAAGAATTTAACAAGATTAGCACTTAATTATTTGTTTGCTCGAAATTATAGCAAAGGTTTGTCTCCGTTTAACTTTCCCTTAATAAATGCACTTTGACAGTCAAATCAGCTGTATTTAAAAAGCCGATATGCGGAAGTACGCATGTGCACGAGAGGACTCGCTGTCCATTTCTTTGAAATTGAACAAGATAATCTCCTACAAACAATTATTTGTTTGCTCAAAATTATAGTAAAGGTTTATCTCCGTTGAACTTTTACTTAATAAATGCACTTCAATGGTCAAATTAGCTTCATTTCGCCGGGGCGGCGTAACAAAATGAAGCTGATTCGACAGTTGCTCCCGGCAGACGACAGTGACAGGCTACGGCAAGCCAAATTTGTCATGGATAGCCACTTTTACCTATTACATGATACAACGGCATGCCATACTACTCGACTGCCATCTATCGACTGAGAATGTTAGTGTTTAATATTTTCAGTTACAATGAATAAAAACAGTCAAATCTCAGCCAGTAATTGGTTTATAAATATGGGAAAAAATCCATAAATACGTCTCTTCGGCATATAAGTGGCAGGGCATGCAAATTATGCAAAAAAACTGTGACTTATAGGGTGAAAAATACAGTACATTTGATGTTGGCACACTGATTTGCCAAATTCCATCGGTGAACATTTCCCAAACGAGTTGTTTCCCACCTCTTGTTTCTTTGTTTTCATCTTTACACTCCCACCCCCACTCCCTCTTTATGCCGTTTCCTATGGCGTTGCTCCTCGTAGCCCCGTACTCTCACAGATCTCACTGTGCCTCTGAGGTCTGATCCCAATTCCCCACATAGCTGTTGCCTGGGCCTCATTAAGAGACCCTGTTGACTGGCAGTGTGAATGTCCAGGCCTCATGTTTCGCTCTGTGCCCAGAACCTTTTCCCCCATCAATCATGTAAAAAGAAAAACATGTCAAAGCTAATACGTTGTGAGAAGATCTTTAACATGATTTCATTTTTATTTTAGAGCAACTTTTTTCCGGTGACAGTTCTGGTATTTGACTTTAAGAGACGATGCATGTGTGCTTTCACAACTTCATTTTTTAAAATATACAGTTTGATTTGAATTTGAAGCACAACGTTGCCTAAATGTGTAATTCTTGTTGTGCCGTTAGTGTCAGTTTAACATGTAGCGTGTTTTGTTCTGTCATGATTACAAAGTTGGGAATTTAATGGTAAGTTCTACCTCACTGTACAGGTGATTTGTCTTTTTGACAGGAACGTTGAGAATGAATTTAAATCAGTTCTGCCTTGTGATTTGACCTGCTTTGAATGGGTTACAGCTGCTCATATTTCTTTATCCCATATGTTATAACTGAGTTGTAATTGTGATTACAGTTTTTAAAAAAGGTACAGTTTATTATTGCTATGACAGAATGTCATGATTTCAGCTCCCTGCCTCCTCTGCTTTTTGCCACCTGCAAGCGCTCTTGGCCACGCCCACTTCTCTGCTCTGCACAGAGAACAGCTGATCAGCTGCAGCAAGAAGTTTATCCTGCAGTGAGGGCTGCACAAATGTGCAGCAGGTGCAAAATAATTAAAAACTATTTATTTTAATAAAAATTACGTGCCAATCGTGTGGCTCATCCATCAATCAGCCAATTATGTGTCATGCCCAATCTTATTTTGAAAAACCGCGATGGAGCGAGTCCGCTATAAACGAACCACAAAGTAGTTTGGGACTACTGTATAGTAAATGAAACTTTATGTCATTTTGAAAATACAGGCTTTGATTTTTGAAAATAAGTATTTTACATTTTTTATGTTTAAATGAAATATACATTATTTTCTTTACCGCATCATGCACAGTTTAAAATTATTTGTAAAAAGACATATTTGTAAATTGTATTACTTTTGTTAATTAGACTAAACGCATTTTGTTTTATTTAAAATAATGTTGGCAGGCCTGCAGGTTTTTAACGCAAATACGCAGTAAATCCTGTTTGGGTTGAGCGCATTGTGTTACTGTATTTCCAGCACCTCTGTCTCAACATTTTATTTTTTTAGTTTGTCAGTGGAGCAGGTGTTAGTTGGATTACCTGAAGCAAAACTACAGCTTTTTTGGCTCAAGATAGAAGCAAAGCTCCTGACATGGTGCAGGTGCAAATGCCGGAAACCCTTTTGTTTTTCTTTTTTTTCTCCACATGTGAAGGTTTAGGGGAAATGTGACTTCAGAGGAGAGGATAAGAGGATTTTACTTGGTTATTTTATGTATCACAGAATTGACTGATGCTTACGGCAAGACACAAACAAATTCCCTTCATGTACAGCAGGTGATTCATCCGCGCACGGGCAGATGCACAAAAACAGAATTTAATGGCTGATGCACTGGTGATCGCTGTGTTTGTGTTGAATTCCAGTTTCCAGAAAGGCACCTTTGGAAGGGCTCTTAGGAAAGCAAAGCCCCTCATACATTTATCAGACAAACTACAGCGCGGTGAATCATTCAAAACAGACTTACAATATGTTGCAATGTTGCTGTGTTTACTGGCAAACATGCACTGATGTGCTCTTTTATTACTGACGCTGCTTATTTTGGATTCAAAGCTCGTGTGTTTGAATTCACCTTTTGTTGACGGCTTCTAATGCACATAAAAAAGTACCTCACTTGAAATTGTGTTTGAATACAAGCCTAAAAGTTTAAGTTGTTTCTCACAATAACACAGTTTTTTGTAGCTAAATTATAAATCATGAAATTATTTTTTAAAAAGTGTCAGCGAAATAGCGAGGGACGACTGTATTGGTTTGTTTTAAATGGACTCGCTCTTTGGCGGTTTTTCAAAGTAAGATTGGGCATAACTGGCTAATTGATGGATTTTTTAAAATTTAAAATAAATTATTTTAATATATTTAGCAAATGCTGCACCTGTGTACAGCCCACATGTGCAGGGAGAAGCTCCATCTTGCAGCATGTCGATCTCCGCTCCGCAACGAAGTGGGCGTGACCGAGAGCGCTGGCAGGTGGTAGAGAGCGGAGATCATGACATGCTGTGCTCTTTTAGAGCGTTTAAAGTTTAGAAACATTGTTTAAAATGTTGCAAGAGTGTGGGAAGTGTATTCCCTCGCTACTTCATAGTTCGGTTATCACGGACTCGGGCTATCACGGTTTTTCAAAATAAGAGTGGACATGACACACAATTGACTGATTGCCGGATGAGCTGCATGATTGGCATGGAATTTTTATTTAAAATGAATTACAGTATTTTAAATTATTTAGCACCTCCTGCACCTTTGTGCAGCCCACACTTCAGGATAAACGTCCTGCTGCAGCTGATCAGCTGTTCTCCATGCAGAGTTGCGAAGTGGGCGTGGCTGAGAGGAGGCAGAGAGCTAAAATCATGGCATGCTGTGCTCTTTTAGAGTGTTTAGAGTTTAGAAACATTGCTTAGGATATTGCAAGAGTGTGGGATGGGTTTAAAACACCTTTATATATATATATATATATATATATATATATACTAAAATAAACTACTACTTACTACTTGTACTACTATTCCTACTTTGCAGTTTTTCCCTTATCGCGGGTGGACTGAGAACGGAACCCCCCCTCGATAAACAAGTATTCTGTATAACCTGTTCCTTAGAAACTAAACACTCCTTATGCATCTGCACTTTTTGTTCATTCTCTTTTGTAGCCTGTCCATCGGGATTTTTCAAGCCCACTCAGAGAGATGAGCCCTGTATGCAGTGTCCCATCAACAGTCGGACCACAAGTGAGGGTGCCATGAACTGCATTTGCCGCAATGGCTACTATCGCACGGACTCTGATCCACTCCAGATGCCTTGCACAAGTATGTTTAGTTTTTCAAATGCTGTTTGTGAACTCTCTAACCACTTTCACAGAGTATATAGACATGAACAGTTACTCTTTGGTTTCAGATATGAACTCTTTGTTGCATGCATTTTGCACCCACAAGCAGAAGAGCCCCGAGATCAAAGGATGATAGTAGTCTATACAGCTTTGAACAGAGAAACCCTGTCAGAGCTGTCTCTCACACAAATATATTGCTGACATGCTCAAAGCGTGTCTGTTCACAGATCTGACCTGGCAGACAAGGCTCGGCTGGCCTTCCTCTACATCACATGGTCCGTACTCCAAACAGACTGGAGGTTAGTGGGCCAGGGTGCTCAGCTTTGTGAAGGGTCGATCTCAGAAAAAAGCCGAGGCGAGGCTTTCTCTTGTCATGCCAATGAAGCTGTTTGAATTAGAATTAGAATTTGAGACTGACACTGAGGTTGGGAGAGAGAATGGCCGAGGACGGACAGACCAAAGTAAGTAAGAGGGTAATATTAGAAGAGCAGGCAACAAAAAGAAGATGGAATTTGCGGAAAAGAGAAATAAGGTGTTTAAGTAAAAAAAACATATGTTCACAGTATTCTTTAAGTTCAACAAAACGGTGAAAAAAAGCAGCTTTCAGAGTGTTTCAGTTGTTGTTTTTTTCCTCCTCGTATTCTTCCCTTGAGCCTGTTGAAAGCGGAGAGAAGGAAAAAGATTTGATGGTCTCCAACAAAGAAGATTTGCATAAGCCTGGGTCTGGGAGTTTAGCAGCTGTTGTGAATGAGAGAGCAGCAGCCTCACGTCACCCGTATTAAGCGCAGCGGGGCTCGGTCTGATTAAAGCAAGACAACAGGCCATCAGAGAGGCCTGCCAGCGAATGGGATGGATATTAGTCCTCCTCCTTCTAAGGAGATGCCAAAGAGGAGTTATGTTTCAGAAAGACTCCAAGAGGGGCACTCCAGTGATCTTTTTTCCAGAGCTGAAGATTTGTTAATTGCTGCCAATTAAAAAGAGGTTAAATAAGAAGTGATCGATTCAGATTAAGGATGTTGTGGGCGTGGTGGAATTGTTTATCTCCTTAGTCCTGGAGGAAATGTCTACCATAATTAGGTGCACATGTTGGTAACAGGTCAACAGTTTTCACTGTTTGTGTGTTTACTTGACACGTCAGTCAACGCGTAGCACCATGTGGAAAGTTTCCATTCTGTAATGCCTATCTGCTGAGGATTTCTTAGGTACAACACTAAGTTTCTCTCAGCTGCAGTAACCCTATACATTCCACCCAAAAGAAACATGTCAAAAATAGATGTTAAGAAAACACTTGACTAAGTGGACACCAACATTGAAAACGAGAGTGTAAATGAGCGTCCCAGGGGGAAAAGGCACTACGAGGTTGGAATGCATCAACTCAAAGAGCGAGCAGTATCTTTGCAAGGTTGTGGAATGCCTCGCCTCCTGTAAAAGGGGTTGTGTAAGCAAAGATAGTAATTATGCCCTTCACACCGTCAAGGACACAGCAGCACTTCTATCATTAAGCTACACTCGTGCTGTCCTTCAAATTTGGACTTCTGCGAGTGTTAACCGCGTTTCATCCTTTCACTTGCATGTCAGCATATTTGCCAAAACTAACTAAAGTTATACTATTTCATAATTAAGGTTTGTTCTGCCAAATGCATCCCTGGTTCAACTTTTTTTGAATGGCACATTGTGGCGTTAATATCCCTAGAGTTTAATATAAACTTTTTGACTTATCGCTTGTTCTTTAGCGAAAAAAAAACAAACAAACAGACCAATATGTCTCTTGTTACAAACTGCATTATGCACTACTTGCCTAAAATAAATTACTTCCAATTTTTTGCAGACAAGTATTTATTTAATGCCATTAAAAATAAAAAAAAAATCTACTCATTTATTTTGTTGCTAATCCTCAAATTTTCTTATGTTTGACTGTCATCAGATAATAATTTTGGACGGCATAATTGTGTTCCTGCTTTTGTTTAAAAAAAAAATAAAATTACAAAATAATAGAATCTATACATGCAACAGCATCAACATGAAAGCTGACAAAGTAGACCAGAGCTACTCAACTGTTGGCCCGGGGGCCAAATCAGGCTCACAGGTGAGCTCGGTTCAGCCCACCAATGGTTCATTTTTAAATAAATATATATTTTAAAACATTAAACGTACTTAATGACAATAACTGCTGGATGTCCAGCCCCTTTGCTCTTGGCTTTCAGGGACTGTGCCCCCCCTGAGCAATTTAGTTGAATAGCCCAGAAGTAGACAAACCAAGGCTAATGCTAATCTTTATTGTGATTTTCAGATTAGCTGTAAACGTCTTCATTTATCTAGATGTCTAATTTAACGTGGCTTAGCTCCTCTTCTGTCTGAACTTTGGGATTTGGAAATGATGAGAACATGTGTACCAATCCTTTAAATAAAACATTTAAATCTAAATAGGAAACACTAGATTTGGTTCTTGTACAGTAACAATTGCAGTCTGTGGTTATGTAAAAAAAGATTAAATACAACGGAAAAGTGTAACAAATATGTGTAAATGGGGTTTTTTGTCAGTGTTATGGAGATAGATGATGATAACTGGACTTTCTCACTTTAGTTTCAGCTGTTTCTCGCTGGTGTTTATTTATGCGACACCTGGCTTTGAATAGCCAGCACATAAAGTATGCTGTCTTCTAGTGTTTCTGAAGGAGCAGAATGTCCCATATCATCTATATAATCTACTATATGGAGGCCATAGTGTAGTCAGTGAAGGTACTGAGTAAACGTGAAAATTTCAAACACAGCAATTGTTTTGTCAATAAATTTAAGCAAATGTTTCTCTTTTAGGTTCATAACTTTGTCTTATAGACTGATTTGGACTCGTTCTGTCATTTTACTGATATTCCTCAAAGGAATGAGCCCATGGAAATGAAAAGAACAAAGATTTAAGTGTAATATGATGCAGGACTGAATTTATCAGACAACCATGTGGCCACACAACATCTGGCTTTGAAATTCAGACTTTGTGTTATAAATCAATAACTCTAATATTACTTTTCTGCAGACAGTTCTGTGTAAAATTCACAACTAAACCCCCCATTTAGGTAAATATGTCTAAATGTGTGGTTTTAGTTAATGTTTCACTCATTGTCTTTGTTTCTTATTTGAATTTATTTTAACATTTCCTTTGGAGTCTAGAAAAAAAAGTCACATTCCTGAATTTGAAAGTAAAATAAAGTTCCTAAATTTGAAATATCTTTAAACTAACTCAAAGTATTTACACGCGTTCAGTTTTGTAAATGTTCATACCAAAATACAAAGGTGGTTGTATTATATTGTATTCAAAGAGCTTTCTTTTTGACGTATTTGTATATTTTTGTAATCAGATGTTTTCCTTTGTCCTGTGTTTTCCAGCTGTTCCATCGGCTCCGCAGGCTGTGATCTCAAGCGTAAATGAAACCTCTGTGATGCTGGAGTGGTTGCCTCCTCGAGATTCAGGAGGCCGCGAGGATGTAGTCTACAACATAATCTGCAAGAGCTGTGGCGGAGGTCGAGGAGGGTGCACCCGCTGTGGCGACAACGTTCAGTTTTTACCACGTCAGCTGGGCCTGACAGAAACCCGGGTCTACATTAGTGACCTGTTGGCCCACACACAGTACACGTTTGAGGTGCAGGCTGTCAACGGGGTGTCAGATCAGAGTCCCTACTCTCCTCAGTACTCCTCAGTCAACATTACCACTAACCAAGCTGGTAAGTGGGCCCATCTGTCTTTTTCAGCACTTTGTATTCCCCATGTGGTTTTCTCTTCCCTTTTCCTGTACTGTTTCATTCCTCCATATGGACACTAAGCAGAGAGCACAGGCCTCCTGTAAGTCTGTTACTCTCCTCTCCTGTATGGTGATGTATGCAGATTAAGGGCTGTAAAATGGGAAGCAGAGCACCGCTGATGATGTGACAGAGAATGTGATGGCCTGTTGGTCTTTATGCTGTGACCTCATCACTATGTATTTCAGACTTGGGAACTGCTGCTTACCCTCTTCATACTGTTCACTGATTACAGCTTCATGCAGACACTTGGCTGTAGAATTACACTTAAAAAGTTCTAGTTGTACTCATTTTGCACATGCTTTATAAAGAATATGCAAGAAGCATGCTAAAATATCTTTTAAGAAGTATTATATGATGAAGTAAGAATCAAAAATCAGATTGTAATTGTTAATTCCTTCTTGAATTGTTCCTGTTTCTGTAACTTTTGGAGTTTTTCATTCCCACTTTGTGGCTCTCACGTCTCTAATTTATTCACTGAGGCAGAAGTGTTGATTCACTCCTTAATTGTTTCTGTGAAATTCATCGTTTGATGTGCCAAGCTTTGCTTCCGCAACCATTCATGCACAACTTATTACAGGCTTGGCTGTCTTTACACCCCGATGGCAAACTACAGTCCTAAAGTGTTTATTATTACCCATCATCCATCCCTCAGACCACTTTTACATGACTGAGCTACCCAAGGCTGGCTACATGCTTTCCGTGTCAGCGTATGCTAATCAGTTCACATCCACGCTTGCACAGCTTTGTTTTTAGTTCATTTCAAGTCGACCTTGCTGAGGCTTGTCATGTAAGGACATATGATGGGTCTATTGGCTTAATGAAACGTTGACAAATTTTGAAGAAGGGGGAACATTCATGATCTTTTTCTGCTGCTATCTACTGAAATACATATAAGAGAGGACATTGCCTCACTTAAATTTATTGTTCTGAATTTCAAAGTTTACTTGGATCTGTTCATTTAAAAATGCAACAAAGTGCTCAGTTCCAACGCTGAGACTAAAATGGGACCTTTTATTCCTGCACTGACCTCCTTTTATTGTCTGTTTTGATTTGAGTCACTGGTGTGGCGGGTTAATGAGGGCCTGTGAGTGCAGTTAAGCGTTGTAATGAGGCCCCTGCCCCACTCACACTCACCGGGCCACAATAAGTCTGCCACCCCAACCCTTGGCTTCTCTGCCGCTCCTGCTGAGGGGTCCTGGCGGAAATTGGGGGGCTCTGCGCCCTCTCCACTGAAGTGCCCGTCACTTTGGATTAGGCAGCAATAGCTCCCATCAGAGCGAGCTGTGAAAAGAACTGAACTCTTGCTCGCTCCAACTCGATGTTCCCACCTTCCCCCATCACCCCGTACATTGCTAACTTTTGGGAAACGGGACAGGAGTTTTGCGATGCAAAACACTACAGGACTGGGGTCATAGGAACGAAGACCTAATAATTGCATCTGGTTTGTGAAGCTTGGAGGTTATATAAACATCATGTCATCCTTAATTATCTCAGGCAGGCTGTGCTTCCTTCTTTCAGTGAGAATGAGAGCATGACACATAGAAAAACAAAGAAATCAGAATGTATATAAAATCTTTATACATCTGTACATGTACGTTAATCAGTTCCCGAGTAAGCTTGCTTTTGGCTGCAGGCTCAAGCCATTATCTAAGAGTAACAAATTAATCTGTGAGTTTGAGCCAAGCGGCATGAAAGCATGTCCCATTTCTTGTTTGGATTGCTGCCTCCTCAGCTATGACTTGTTAGTGTGAAGGTGGTGGCGGCAGTGGTGATGGAGGCGGGGGGGTGAGCAGAAATTTTCACTCTTGATATCCAATCAGGCACCCAACACACTGTATTACCCACAGGCTTATCCACCCTCTCTGTAGGTGGTAGGTGACAGTTCCTCTGTGATAAAGGATATGATTGCCTCGGAAATGTAGCGCTTGATTTCACACTCTAATGTAACACTAAAGAAAATGCTGGGCCGAAAGGTGTTTGATCTCGTTTTATACATGTATGATTCATTCTCCAGAACTCGAATCATGCACGGTACTCTAGTCAGAGCTCTTGGAGTACGTCTCTAGCTTTTTTTTTTTTTTTTAAGTATGACTCACATTTAAGCCATCCTTGGCGACATTGTCACCAAGTAAAATGTTACTGTCATAGCATCTTAAACTAGCTTAAGTTATGAGACAGAGTTGCTTGATGCTTAATATCATGAAAACCTGAAGGTGTCTATCTTCCTTGGGATTATAGGGACTTTAAAAGTGTTTAGCGGGTGTGTGTGGTGTTACAAAAGCCAGGCTTCCTTACAGATTTTAGGGTAGTATTTAATGTATACAGTGTAGGACAGTGCAACAAAGTAGGATAGAAATAGGAGTATCTTTGCACTGATTTATTACACACCTGTGCCTCATGTAACGCTCTTATTCAGAACATGTAACCTTTGTATTATATTGTCATTGCAATGAAAAAAGGAAATTAAACATGTCAATACTAAGTCTGAAAAGAATCAAACACTTGTTTGTAGTAGAGTGCAGCTCAAAGCACCGTCACATTCACTCATTTTTTTAAACTTCTTATTTTTTCAGTTAGCGCTGCTGAAAATACTACATAGGAACAAATATTTGTTTATCATTGTTATTTATACATTAAGTTCTCAACGGTTTAGGAAAATAGCTTTACTGTTGTCCCATCCACTCCAGGTTAAAATGAAAATCTTCAAGTCACAAATATATATGGTAGTTTTTTTTTTAATTATTATTATTAAATATGCCTACTGATGCCTGTGACTGCAGTGCAAAGATACAGAGCAAGATTAATTTAATCTTAACATTTGATCATGAGAGAAACAGTAAATAACATTTTTATGAACAGTATTTTACATATTTAAGTATATTTGTTTGTTATTCTGTATTTGTATGAGTTTTGTTGTTTTTTAAAACTTTATATAACTTAAAATTGCAACTGAAGTGTGGTTAAAAATGCAAAAGGCCTGCCGTGGTTTATGAAAATCTGCAGGGGTTTACCTGTTGTATAATTAAAAGCAACAAGAGGAAGTTTTAAAAATCATGGTTTTACAGCCTTTGATTTAAAATATATAGATCATAGCAAACATATTTAAGAAGAAATTAAAACTTCAGATTTAATCTTTTTACAGTTCCTTAATCTGTTCTTTTATTTTTCTTTCCTGCATTGCTATATTCTCTCACACCCTTAGTTACCTAAATATTAAAATGTATTATTGTTGGACTGTATTTGAAACCATTTAGCCAGTGGGAATTTTAGTCAACCATGCAGTATATGACAGCTGAGCAATTTTGTTGCAAGAGATTTCACAACACTAATCTGCTAGTCTTCATCTTCTCATAGCCTGGAATGTATGGCTAGACAGGTTTGAGAAGCAATCAAGACCGAGCTGTGCATATATGAATAAATCTGGATTTTGCATACCTATGGAAGCAATTGTTCATTTCTAGGTCAGAACATCTGCATGTCTGTGCTGTCAGTAATATTCAAACAGCAAAGCTCTATTGAAGACGCCATGGGCAGAAAAGGCTGTCAGTTCCACATGTGGTGTTCTATATGATTTTATTAAGGGAACGTGCTGTAACTGTATACAGCAAAACTAGTCCTTACTATATATATATATATATATATATATATATATATATATATATATA